CAGGAGAGCACGGCTCCTTCGGACGCCGGGCGAGGACGGCCCGCTCACACCGCGCGGGGCCGAGGGGGCCCCGGGCGGGAGCCTGGCTGCTGCCCCGCGAGGGGGACGACGCGCCTCTCCCAGCCGCTCACTGCTTGGCCAACCTACGCGCCTGCGCCTCTGCTGCGGCGGCTGCTGCCCGGGCGCGCGCAGAACAGAGCCGCACACAGGACGGCTCCCTGTGCGGCGAGACACTGGATGCTAAGGGCTGGCGCGCCCGGAAGGGCGGGTGAGGGGGCAGCAGGGACTGCCGACACAATTCTTTGCGCGACTGGAGCGCGCCGTGGCACTGCGCCCAGACTGGCCGCCGGGCCACGGCCGAGCAGCGCGTCCCTGCCTGGGATCGCCAGAACCCCGACAGTGGCGCGTGGGAGGAGGTCATCCTCGACGTGGCCACTCGCGACCCCGTTGCCAGCGGCCTTGTCTACGTTAACTGGTCTGTCACTTGCGAACACAGCAACAACAACGCTCGCAGCCAGACCAAGGCTCGCACGGACGGGGTGGCGACTGCCCAGGCGGTCGACAAGAAAAAGGCGCGCTAACCCTCCTTCCGGTGGGTTTGCTCCCGGCCGTCTTGGAGTCATGGGGGCCGACCGACCGACGAGCTGGTCGCCTTTGTCCGCTCTTACAGCCGCGACTTGCCGGAGACCGAAGGGTCTGGCGTGATTTCCGCCACCTGGAAGATCCAGGGCTGCTTGGCTTTCGGAAGACCGGAGATGTTGCTCAGCGCGATGTGAACAGCCAAGCAGCTCCCCCTGCCGCCAGCACAACGTCCACCGCCACTACGACCATGACCACCTCCGACGTGGCCATTACCGCTAGTGCGACGACCACGTCGACCAGCACCACGCCCACAGCCACCGCGCCGCCGCCGCCATGACCACAACCACCACCGCCTCCACCACGACCGCCACGAACTCCACGACCACCACGACCGCCACGAACTCCACCACCACCACCACCACCACCACCACCACCACCACGATGCCCACGACCATAACCACCGCCTCCACCACCGCAACAACGACGACCGTCACGACCACCACCACAACGACCGCGACCTCCAAAGACCACCGCCGCGGCGACGACTCCCACGACATCCGCCACTGCCCCCGCCCCCCCTCTCTCATGCCCCTTCTGCATAGCCGCCCCTGCTTGCTGACTCTTCCGCTCCTCCTCCTCCTCCTCCTCGCCCCCTACTATTCTGGCGTTGACGCCGCGCGCGGGCTGGTGCGGTTTGGCACCAGGGGGCCGCCGTCAGCTGCCCTGGCCCCCTGGGTGCCAGGGACTGCCGGGGACTGACTTCCCCTGCCCCCGCCCCCGAGGAGACAGAGAGCGAGAGAGAGAGAGAGAGATGGAGGGAGAGAGAACGCGAAAGAGAGAGAGAGAGAGAGAGAGAAAGAGAGAGAGAGAGAGAAAGAGAACGAGAGAGAGATACATAACGGGAGAGAGAGAGAGAGAGAGAAACATCTATATATATATATACACATGTGTATATATATATATATATATCAAAAGAAAGAGAAAGAAAGAGACAAAGAGAGAGAGAGAGAGAGAGAGAGAGAGAGAGAGAGAGAGTGAGCGCAACGCCTCGGACCAGGTCCGGTTCGCCGGCGGGGGCTACCCGCGCGCCCTGCCCGCCCCTCTCTGGGCGGAGGGGCCGCGGCACGAGGCGGGGGCGGCACAGTCCGCCCCCCCTCGCCCGGCGCAGCCAGAGCCAGACCACGGCCCGAAGGCAGCGCGGGGCACAGCGAGCCGGGGGTCGTGGTGCACCCTCCGGCATGCGTGCCTCGGGGGGCCGCCCGCGCCCCCCCTCTGCCCGCCACTGTAGGTTGGCGGGGGAGGGGCCGCGGCAGAAGACGGGGGCGGGAGAGTCTCCCCCGCCCCCCTGGCGCAGCCAGAGCTGGACTCAGGTCGGGCACGTCCCTCTACAGGCGGCACAGTGGACGAAAAATAAAAAAAAAATAGTTAGCAAATGCTCCCAAATGGCCAGAAGCAGTAGAAAAGATCGTCCCCGTACCATTTTGTTACTATGTTCGAATATTCCTCCTGTAGAGGGACAGGCCCGACTCAAAGCTAGACCGCGACCTGAAGGCAGCGCGGGGGCACAGCGAGCCGGGCGTCGTGGCGCACCCTCTGGCATGCGTGCCCGCAGGTTCCTGCAGGAAGGGCGTCGCGGAGAGGCAGTCCCGGACCGCGACCCAGAGCGTGGACCCGTGGAGCGCGTTGCGCAAGGCGCTCTCGCTCGGTGCAAACGAAGGAGAGGCCAGCGGCTGTGGCGCTGGCGGTGAGCGTCGAGCCTCGCCCGCACGGCCTCGAGGTGGGGGGGGCGCCGGGGGGAAGAAAACGGCGGAGACGTCGCGCGAATGGGGTCCCAAACAGGCTGCTGGGCTCGTTGGAACTGTGCGAAGAGGGGGCCCGCCTGCTCCTGGGCGCGATGCGGATAGAGAGAGAGAGAGAGAGAGAGAGAGAAACAAAAGAAAGAGAGAGAGAGAGAGAGAGAGAAAAAAAAAAAAGAGCGAGAGATAAAGACAAAGAGAGAACGAGAGAGAGAGGGGAGGGAGGGATGAGGACAAGCTAGGTGCGCTCGCGTCATATCTGACGTCCTGCCCCTCCCTCCCATCCCTTACCATGGTGTAGAAGTCCTCTCTACTCGCACAATCGGATGTCGTAGCATGGCATAGCATTACATAGCATAGCATGGTGTCGAATCTTAACGCGTAGCATGACATAGCATGGCGTGGCGACGCCCCAAAGGGGCTTCTGCGGCCAAAAAATCAGCGAATCGACACAGATGTGTAATCACTTCCGATGGTTTCTTTGGGAGACAATTTTCTAGATTTTGGGGGGGCGTGGCAATCGAAACAATGACGCCAGCGCTGCAGCGGGAACACGATTCGGAACGAGCGGAAGCGCGGAAATGAGGCCAACGCTGCAGCGGGAGCACGATCTGGAACGAGCGGTAGCCCGAAAATGAGGTCAGCGCTTCAGCGAGAGCAGCATGTTGAACAAAAGCCAAGCGCGGAAGCGCGGAAGTGAGGACGCGTAGCCTGAAATAGCATGGCGTGGCGAGGGCTTCTGCGGCCAACAGATCAACGAATCGACAACGCATGTGTTATCTCTTCCGATGGTTTTTTCGGGGGTCCACTTTCTAGATTTTGGGGCCTATGCCGTGGCATGGCGCTGGAAATAATGACGCCAACGCTGCAGCGGGAGCACGATTCGGAACGAGCGGAAGCGCGGAAATGAGGCCAGCGCTGCAGCGAGAACAGCATTTTGAACAACAACTCAACGCGGAAGCGCGGAAATGAGGACGCGTAGCCTGACATAACATGGCGTGGCGACGCCCCAAAGTGGGGGCCAAAAGAATCAACGAATCGACACCGGAAGTGTGATCACTTCCGATGGTTTTTTCGGGGGTCCATTTTCTAGATTCTGGGGCCTATTTGGAAGGACCGAAAGCCATGCTGTGGCATGGAGCTGAACATGACGCCAACGCTGTAGCGGGAGCACGATTCGGAACGAGCAGAAGCGCGGAAATGAGGCCAGCGCTGCAGCGGGAGCACGATTGGGAACGAGTGGTAGCCCGAAAATGGAGCCAGCGCTTCAGCGAGAGCAACTTTTGAACAACAGAAACCTAAGGGAAAACCTAACTCCCGGGAATCCTGTGTTAAAAAGCCAGTGCGCGGAGGGCGGCCGGACATTCCCCAGACGCCACCAGGGGAGAGAGGAGAATAGTATTCATATGGTGCAAGTGTGGAGGAAAGGAGAGGAAGAATGGGCAGAATGCGGAGGTCAACAGGGACGAAGGAAAGTCTGCGGGAATGGAGGGAGGAGGGGATGAGGAGCACACGCATGAGCAAGAGGATGCCTTCGCCGCTCTGAGCTTGCTCAGCAGGGCCGCCGCGTCGTCGCCGCCCTTGTGGAGGATCGCGCCGAACTCTGCCTCGACGTCCTTCAGCAGCCTGGCGCCGCTGAGGAATATGATCGTGATGGGGAGCGAAGCATGAGTATGACGAGCGTGCGAGGAGGAGAAGGAGGAGGACGAGGAGGAGGAGGAGAGGGCGGCGGAGGACGAGGCGGAGGAAGAGGAAGCGGAAAGGGGGGGCCTGCCGCGGCGCCGGCCCCGGGCTTACGCCCAGCCAACACTCTTGCCCATCTTCACAATACTGTCCGTACCGCGTGAATCCAGCCCGCACTCCAACACCTCGCCGCTCAAGCTCACCACCTGCGAGCTACTATGCAGTACGCGTGCCGTCAGGTGTGTCGACCGCGGCCGAGCGGTTCACGCCATGCGGCGACGGGGAGACGGGGGGGGGAAGAGCTCCTTCAACCTCTGTGGCAAAGCTTCAGGAGCACCTACCCACAAGGTCTGCCCCCCCCCCCCTCGCCAGGCGCTGACAGGGCAGTCGCACCGTGGACGTGTCTTTCACATGGAGTGGACTGTGACGGCCTCGCTGCTCCTCCACCTCCTCCTCCGCCGCCTCCCCTGGCTCCTGACGTAGGCGCACGACCCCTCCACCCGCAGACGTTGCCATGAGTGCGGCGCTGGAGACCCTTCTTTCGCCCTTCACATTTCACATCCCGCAGTCGTTGCTGTGGGGAGAACCAGACGCGTGCACGGCCTGAGAAACGCATGCCGAAGAAGGTCGCATGGGCGCACCGCGACACACGCAGGTGACACCTTGGCGAATGATCGGCGCTCTCGGGGTGAGAAGAGCGGGATATTGTACAAGCTCAGGCGGCACTTCTTGAGAGGTGCCCTTTAGTCACAGGGGCCGATCATCCTCCCCACGTCCATCCCCCTCCTCGGCCAAAACACTAGGGGCGGCATCGGCATGCCAAGCACGCGCCCAAAGCGCGACACGCAAGTAAGAAAACATCACTGCAGGCGCAGTGGCATGTGAGAACATTTTTGGCAAGAGCGCTCACTCAAGCCGCTGCGGCGAAGCAGCGCGCCCTCACAAAAGATCAACCAAATCCTTGTGATTCAGTCCCGTCGTCTCGACTAGCCTAAGAGCCTCGGCGGCGGTCATGCGATTCACTGCCTGCCCCTGTAAAATGCCAAAACGGCTTTGCCGCATCAGCACCTTGACATCGATGTTACGAGCACTACCCTTCAATGCTGCCATCCCCTCGATGAGTTCGTCAACTGTAAGAGTTCCGTCACCGTCCTTATCGATTAAATAGAATAGCAAGCTGGCATCATTCACATCATAGTCCATCGCCTTCAACCATAGCCGCATGTCTGGACTCTTCAGAACTTGCTGGAACAACGCTGCGTCAACATTACTGTCTTTGCCGTTCTTGGCCATCTTTTGGAAAAGGGACTTCATTTTGGTGCTGTGGGTTTTCGCTTGGCTCGCCTTCCTCCTGATCATGAGTTGGTCATCGGTATCAGCAGCCCGGAACGTCTCTTGAGTGAACACACCCATGATGACGCCGATTACAGCGACGCCCATGAACAGCTTGTAACCCAAGGCAAAGACAGACCACCCCTCGTGCATCGATTCCATCATCATCCGGCAGATCGGAGGCCAATTGGCCAGCATCAGCTCAAAGAGGGACACCATTGATCTCCAGTACGTACCAAAGTACTTGAACACCTCCTCTTTTTCGTGAGGTGCCTGAAAGAGTTCTTCATCACCAGATGAGGTCAGGTAGAAGTCCTGAACAATGTTTGTGAGCAAGAGGGCAAAGAGTGTCTGCGCAAGGAACAGAAAAGCGACAACCCACATCAAAGCCACCATGCTTCCATAGAGAGCTGTGGTCATGAGATAGAGCGAATCAAACGTCGTGATCGAACGGGCCAACCTCATGATCCGCATCAGCCGGGTCAAGCGCAAGACGCGAAGGGTCGTGACTGGCATCGTATCTCCCCCCTCCCCTGCCAGGACGACGAAGGTGGTAATATTAGTAGTCAGCACGATGGCTATATCAAGCCACCCCCACGGATCACGTAGGAAATCCACACGCAGGAAAGCGAGCCTCAAAAGTAGCTCGACCGTGAACAGCGCACAGAAGACGACGTCGATGGTCACGAAGACGTCGGGAGTCAACGCCCCTGAACCTTTGAAGAATCTGTCGGAACCGTAGTAGGAACACGCCGACCCCTCCGGGTACCGGCGTGAGAATCATGTCGGCTTCTCCACGCCCAACACTTCCGCTGGAGAATCGAATCTTCCGCTTCGCCTACGTGCGGGGGCCCAGAAGGCCACGAAGGGCCACCAGGACGGAGGTGCACGAAAGGATCCGAGAGAGGCCCCCTATATTGAGGGATGAAATAACGGCCCTACCCTGGGTTACAAGTGCGTGGTCTGTAATACACCTCCTGGGAACCCCCAAACCCTAGAGCCGCCAGGACGCGGCACATCACGCAGGGTTTGCCCTGTCAGCCCACAGGAGTTTCAGCGCACAGCGCCTCGTAAACCAGGGTAGGGGCGTTTTTCTGCCCTTGGCTATAGGGCCTAAAGAGCACCCAGACGGCCCCAACTGCTTGGAAGACGCATTCGATTCTCATGCTCTTCATGCTCCAGGCTCGGTAGTTTACGTCGCTTCCGAAGGGTGTCAAGCGGACCCACGCTGGCCTAAGAGGACCCCGGTGGGCTCCAACAGTCCCCCGAGGCCTCCAGCAGCCGCAAGACCACGAGCACAGCAGTCACCTGCGGCAGTGCAGAAAATCACTAGCAAGAGCAAGGAGTGGCAGCACGCATCGCCATCGCGTATCAGCAGCAGCATTAACTCCCAGCGACAGCAAACAGCACCAGCAAACAGCAACAACAGGCATCAGTTAGCAGCAGCAAGCAACACCGACCAACAATACGCAACAACAAGCATCACCTGCCATCCGCAAGCAACAGTGAGGGAGGGATGGCGGAGGGAGTGAAGGGAAGGGAATGAAGAAATGAACGGGGAAGGAGGCAGGGAGGGAGGGAAACGCTTGAAGCAAAATGACGATAATTACGATGATGAGTGGTCATGGTCAGGAGGGATACCTTCTCAAACGCGTACAACGGACGAACATCAATCATGGACAACCATACCTGGCGTACCTAAGCCTATCCCATAGATTCCGATATCATTGCCGATCCTCGCGCCCATGAACTGTCCCTCGAGGATCATGAACATGGTGTTGATCGTTATGAGGAAAGCGCTGGCACACTCCATCAGGTGAGACTTCACAAACCACTCCGTGGCTTGCAGGGCGGGATGGCTGTGCACCATCTTCTTCTTCCACTTGGAACCTGACTACCTACCAGACCACCCCAACCCAACCCGAAGACCCGGATTTCGGGTTCGGGGGGGTATGGGTTCCACACGCGTTTTTCCAGTGTTCCCCGACCCCCCCCAACTGGAAATGGAGGGCAAATTGAGGCCTTCGGGTTGGGTTGGGGTGGTTTCGTGGGTGGTGAGAACCGCCGAACAGGTCACTGAGCTCCGAGGCCTCCGACACCGTGCTGGCCTGCCTGTCCGAGCGCCTCGCCGGCTCCTCCTCCTCCGGTGGCGACGGCTCGTCGCCCGCGACGAGCCGCGGCGGCGACCGAGGGTCTGCCCGGCTGGAGCACTCGTAGGTGCCGGCGGCGCCCTTGGATCGGGGCAGACGGGGGCACGTGGTCCCAGACCCCCTCGAGTAATGAAAAAATCACGACGGGAGGTTTTTCACAATTCTTGGCCTTTGAGGGCCCTTACCGGCCCTCGGGACCGTCCAAAAACGACTCAGGATGAAAAACCGGTCCCGGGGAATGGGTCGAGACCTCGGGGGGTCGACGTCATGAAAAAATCATGACGTCGGGGGTCTGGGGTCACGCTCCGCCACGCCTCCGCCTCCTCCTCGACGGGGGCACGGCAAGGGCAGCCACCGGGCAGGGACGGCGTCGAGACCCCCTGGCGGCCCGCGGGCCCGGAGGGTGGGGTGCGCTGAGTGCCGCGGCCGTTCCTGGGCGCTCCCGGAGCGGTCCGGAAATGGTTCGCAGTGATCCCACCCCCTGCTCCGCAAGCGTGGTGGAGCTCCTCTGGCCTGCAGGCTGCAGGACCCCCCAGGACACGCAAAAGCACCCTCCTAAAGTGCACAAAAAAGCTTTGAGTGTCGACGACGACGACGACGACGACGAAGGCGACGAGGACGAGGACGAGGACGACAAGGATGAGGACGACAAAACTTCGAATCTTTTTGCAGCCCGTCATGGCGGCATGCACAATGGGGAGATGGACAGAGAGGCGGTCCTCTGGAACCAGCAGCGGGCTTCCCGGGAGGGCTCGGAAGCTCGTCGCAGAAAACCTCTTCAGGAGCAGTGCGGGCTCCTCTGCGAAGCTCCCTGCCCGCACGCATCAGGAGGCGCGATCCCACCCCCGTCGGGGGGACGTGAGAGTGGGACGGGAGGAGGAGGCGCGGCCACAGGAACATCGCCCTAAGCGGCCCCGTGGAAGAAGGGCATGTGCGCGCATCCAGCGGGGCTCGCTTCCTGACCGCCCCGAGCTTGGGATAACCTCCCCTGTGCTAGGCTCGGGCGAACAGGGCGGGTCAGAAAAGGGGAGGGGGGGGGGCGGCGCGCACAAAGGAGACGGGGGAGGGGGGGTAATGCTTCTTAGGAGGCTGCTTCTTGGAAGGCGCTGGCCCTCCATCCACAGGCGGCCTTGCGTCCACAGATCAGACCCGCGCCTTCTGAGAAGCAGGGGTGCTCCTGAGAAGCCTTCCCCCCTCCCTGCGCGTGCCCCCCCGGTGTTCCCTGACCTTCCAGAGAGCTGTTTTTTAGCACTGGAAACCTAACAACCTAAAAAACGAGACGAAACAGCCTAAAACCAAGACGTAAAATAGCTCTGGGATAGGTTTTTACGTCGGGTGCTATTTTTTAGCCCTCCTGGAAGGTCAGGGTTAGGCTCGGACGAAGCTGGCGGGGCAGAGCGGGGCGGGGGCGGAAGCGGCTCACTCCGCCGCCGCTCCCGGCGCCTCTCTTCGGCGCGGGGGAGGCGCCCGTGCCTCGAGGCACGCTCCCGCCCCGCGGCGGGGCCGAGGCCGGCGGCAGGCAGCAGATCTCGTGCACCCCCCCCCCCCCCTCCCTGACCTTCCAGGAGGGCTAAAAAATAGCACCCGACGTAAAAACCTATCCCAGAGCTATTTTACGTCTTGGTTTTAGGCTGTTTCGTCTCGTTTTTTAGGTTTTTAGGTTTCCAGTGCTAAAAAACAGCTCTCTGGAAGGTCAGGGTCCTGATCCCCCCCCCCCTGGTCCGGCCCGACCCTGTGAGCCCCCTGACGCCGCCCCCGCGCCTCAGACGTGCGACGCCGCGGCTGTCTCCACGGCGTGCGTCCAGGTCCTGGACCTCTTGGTCGTCCCTCCTCTCCCCCTCCCCCCTCCTCCTCCCTCCCTCCTCCTCCTCCTCCTCCTCCTCCTCCTCCTCCTCCTCCTCCTCCTCCTCCTCCTCCTCCTCTCCCTGCGCCGGGGGCCGGCTGCGCACCCCGAACCGCCCTCTCGACGGCCCCGCAGGGGCCGGCAAGGGAGCCCCGGAGGCCGAAGATCGACGAAGGCCCCCGACGTCGTGATGGGTTCGTGGCGTGGATCCCCCGGAGGTCTCGACCCCTGCCTGGAGGCAATTGACACGTCGTGCATTTCCAATCATGCTCATTTCTAAGTGTGCTCGTTTCTAATTGTTCCTGGCCCCCTAGTGGCCAGGGAGAGGCCCAGGACAGAACAATTGGAAATGAAAGGATCTTGGCCCCCCCAAAATCAAATAACTTTCGAAGAATTAGAAATGTACAACGTGTATGCTTTTCTTCGGATTTCTGATGGCTGTATTGGGTGGCGCTCGGGCGTGACGCCGCCCAAGGGTCGGCCTTCCCCGATGGGCTCGCTCTCGGTGGCGATGGCCCCTGCTTGTCCTCTGACCAGCGCTGCCGCCCGAGGAGGTGTGAGCATCCAGCTGGGTTCGTTCCACATGATCGCGTCGTTAAAAAATCAAGGCGGGATTTTTTTTGCTATTTTCGGCCCCGGGTGGCCCTCGCCGGGCCTCGGGACCGTCAAAAAACGACTCAGAACGAAAAACCGGTCCCGGGGAAAGGGTCAGGACTTCCAGGGACGCCGTCCTGAAAAAGTCAGGACGTCGCATGTCTGGGTCCCTAACCCCACCTTGGGATAATCCTCCCCCTCCCAAGACCCCTGACGTCATGATGGATTCGCGACGTGACCCCCGGAGGTCTCGACCCATCCCCTGGGACCGGCTTTTCACCCCGAATGGATTTCTGACGGTCCTCGGCCCCGGCGGGGGCCCCCAAGGGCCGAAAAGAAGGAAACACCTCCCGCCGTAATTTTTGTCACGACGGTCTGGGGCTGCCGGAAATTGCCCAAAACCTCCCGCCGTGATTTGTTCACGGCCCGAGGGGGTCCGGGCTCTGCGAATCCCCGGGCCCACCTCGACGCTCAGCGGGCCGCCGATCGGCCGTCTTCGAAGGGGCGCAAGGGGACACAAGTAAATCGACACAACTTCCAGGATTTCCAACATTTTTCCACGCTTCTCTGGCTGTCCTCTCCCCCCCATTGCCAATATCTCCACGGCCCGAAGAGGCTCCCAAAGGCCCCCAAAAGGGTTCCAAGAGCCCAAGAGGCCCAAAGACTGCCCCCAGGAGGCCCGCGAGAGCACCCCGAAGAGACCCGAAGAAGGATCCCCGAGAACGCCGGCCAACACAGCCCAGGCACGGTGGCGGGAGGGGCTGCAGGCCACTGAATCTCCGAACATATCTTCACGAACACAAGGGAACACACACACACACATCGGCATGAACAGAAACTGTGACACACCTCGGCAGGAACCAACTCGGCATCAACACAAGTCGGCAAATCTTCACGACATCGCGCAGATGGACAACCCACAATCTTCACGAAATCTTCACGAAATCACGAGATCTTCACGGCATCTTCTTCATTGAACCACAATAAACTTTTGACACTCCGCGCAGATGTCTTGGATCTGAGCTGGCTTCCCCCCTCCCCGGCGCGCGGCGCGCCCGCCGGGGGCTGCGCCTCCGAAGCGCCGTCGGGGCAACCCCGGCGCAGAGCCAAGAAAAATCCGCGTGGACCGCGTCGAACGTTTCTGTCTGTGCCGTCTTGAGGAGGAGGAGGAGGAGGAGGAGGAGGAGGAGGAGGAGGAGGAGGAGGAGGAGACAGACCTCCCTTTAGCAAAACGTGGCTTAGTGAAAACGACCTGAGGCCCAGACCCGGCGGGCGCAAGCCTGGAACATAACGGCCGCGGCGCCCTCTCGAGAACCGGAAACGGGCAATTCACTAATCGACGTGTCACTGTTGGCGGTTCTTTTTGTGCCGTCTTTCTTCTTCGAGAAAATCAGCGTTCATTTGTGCGCCTATTTCCTACATCTCCAATCTGCGAACGGATCGAGCGAACACGACAGTGCGAATCGTAGGAACGCGCGGGCCACGCGTTCCCGTGTTGCCAGAACCTGCATCGCCGTTCCCACGTCTACGGTCCGTTGATCAATCTTCACGGAAATCCGCGTTGATTTGCGTTTGTGACGCCTTGCCCCTCCTGGGTTTTGCGGGCCCTGCACGGTTTCCCCCGGGGCCGTAGGCCACCCGAGGAGGAGGAGGAGGAAGAGGAGGAGGAGGAGGAGGAGGAGGAGGGGGAGGAGGAGGAGGAGGAGGAGGAGGAGGAGGAGGAGGAGGAGGGGGAGGAGGAGGAGGAGGAGGAGGAGGTGGGGAGGAGGAGGAGGAGGAGGGGGGGGAGGGGAGGAGGAGGAGAGGGTGGTGGAGGAGAGGAGGAAACGGGGGGTAGCGAGGGGGGGGAGGGGTAGGAGCGGACGGACGGGCCTACGTGAGCCCTTCGAAGAAGCCCTCCCGCGGGCCCCGCCAGGTCCTGCGCGCCGCCCGCGCCTCCGCGCTGCCGCCCGGCCGTGGAGGGCCCAAGCGGGGAGCCTGGCGCCTGTGGGCGCGGGCCCCCGAGGGCGGCGCTGCTCCTGCGGGGGGGGGGGGGGGTGTGGGGGGGGGGGGGGGGGGGGGGGGGGAGGGGGGGGGGGGGGGGGGGGGGGGGGGCAGGCGCGGGAGATCTTTTTTTTGGGGCGGGCGGGTGCGGTGCGCGC